TTCATTGTTGGCTCAGGAATTCTGGGAGTTGAAGTCTGCAAGTCATAAAAGAGCCAAGGTTGTCTACCCCTGCGCTAGACCAAATTGGTAACATAACTGTGAAATCTCTATTAGATTTCCAAACAAATGCCTAGGACGGTATTCCTAGCCACAGGAACATAGTATTATACAAAACATATTTCTGTGAAATGTGAAATAAAATTCAATATTAAAATAAATGAAAGAGGAAGTAAAATGGATTGATTTGTTCTTTTATTTTTAGGACCCCAGCAGTTCAGCCAGTGACAGCAAACGTCTCCTTTGTGATTTTAGAGGTCAATCAAACAAAAGGTAAATCTCTTAACGTACCGCAGTGCAAATCAAGAAAAATTAAATGTTTTGAGCCATGTTGATAGGTATTATTTCTCAACATTTGAATTAATGTGTTTAACAAAGAGGTAAATTAGGTTGGTCACGTTGCTCTCTTTATAATTTCAGGCATTTTTTTTTTTTTACTGTAATACATAAGTCCTCTACTTATAACCAGAATCCAACCTAAAATTTCCATAGCTAAGGAACACTGTTGTTAAGTGAGTTTTGCCCCATTTTATGAGCTTTTTTGTGAGATGTTAAGTGAATCACTGCAGTTGTTAAACTAGTAACACGGTTATTGTGTGAATCCAGCTTCCCTATTGACTTTGATTGTCAGAAGGGTACAAAAGATGATACATGACTCTGGGACACTGCAAACATCATAACTACATGCCGATTGCCAAGTGTCCAAATTTTGATCATGTGACCATGGGGAGGCTGCCATGATTGTAAGTATGAAAAAGGGTAACAAGTCAAGTTTTTTGAGTGCAGTTATAATTTAGAGTGGTCACTAAACAAATTTAGTGACAAATTGAGAAGTGGCTGTATTATATGACACCCTCAGCCCTCTTTTCTGCCAGTCCCCTCTTTTGTCTATTGTCAAACATAAGTCCCGCTATCACTTAAGAGTGGCTTAATTCCTCAAAACACCGTGGCACAGAGAAAGGGGTCTCCCCGCTCTTTGCAAAAATGGGATGGAGGTGCGTTTAATTAAAAGCAATCATAATTGTCAGATTAATGAATAATTGGGACACCCGGCTCTGCCAGTTGCTGCAGAGGATGGAATTAAAATTTAATCTCCCGCTGAATTATTGAACCAAATGAAATGCTGATCCCATAACTGCTACCATTGCCAGGCTCAGCGGGAGATTTTACCTGCAGACGTTAGGACAATGGGTTGTTCTTTGCTGCATTATCTTAAACTCCTAAGGCACCATTCCTTATTCCTCCATTTTGGGGGTTTTGCTGTTCGCATATTTGGAGAGATTTGAATTTGGGGAGCTGCTGCTGCTTAATACAGATTAGTTTGTTTATACTAAAAGCCCCAAGGCTTCTGAGGGCTCCATTCAAATCAGACAGAGAAGGAAGACAACACGCAAAAAATCTATTTAACCTATTTATACTTCAGAATGCCAAGGTTTTCACTTCTATCTAGCTAAGGACCTTGGGGAAGGTGTGTGTGTGTGTGTGTGTGAATTCAAAAGTTGAATGATAGAACCTAAAACTGTTATAAAATTCTTGTGTAAAAAAATAACAATTAGTGGTACAACTTGCCTCCAAAGGAAACTTCATTTTACATATCAGAGGCTGTGCAGTGAATAAAGGGTAAAGATTGTGTATTAAATAAAGACTGTTGTGTTAAAATCAAACGGGCAAATCAAATGGCTTTATCCTTCTGAGATTTACTGTCTAGAAAATATCGATCTTATCAAACCTTCATAGGACAGCGTACGCACATTCAAATTTCTACAAATTAGGGCCTTGGCAATCGGTCGTAAATACATATGTCCCCGAGTTTGAAATAATAATATTTGTCTGTATGTCAAGATACCCTTGGGTAATATGGACTCAGTATGTTGGAAGTCAGGTGTGCTACGATGGTTTGTCCAGTGATTCGGATTGTAATTAGTCATGTGAGTTCAGCTAGAGAAGGAACAATACAGAAGTATAACCGGTATATATAGCCCAGTGGTTCTCAACCCTTTTAATGCCGCGACCCCACCCGGTCGTAAGTCGAGGACTACTCAACCAGTCGTAAGTCGAGGACTACTCAACTGGTGCAGCACCGTTTGCAGACGGGGACTTTTGGCGGGCTCAGCAGGGCAGAGACAGCCTGGACAATTCCTATTGGCTTTTGAAAGCCAATAGAATTAGACTCTATTCAAGAGAGTCTATTCTATTGGCTTTCGAAAGCCAATAGAATAAAAGGGAGGAGCACAGCTAAGGAAAAGGGGGGGAAAAATGGCGGACTGCGTTGTTTGGCGACCCCCGTGAAATGGTCGTTCGACCCCAAATGGGGTCCCGACCCACAGGTTGAGAACCACTGATATAGCCCAAAACAATCCACTGAACAAACTATAACAATACATACAGGCATTTTTAAGCCCTCTTGTTATCTCTTCTTAAAGAGTTTTCTGTAAACCAGAGTTAAGATGGGCTTGAACAGAGAGCAGGTTAGGATGGACGTAGAAGCCTGCGAGGGCCTTGTGTGGAGTGTTGTCCACGTCGATTTGGAAAAACTGGAGATATTTCCCACCTCATTGGGTTTATTGGGAGGCTTAGTGGAAACATCCAAGCCCTTCCTAGCGGTCACTGTATCCCTGCAGCCTAGTAAGAGAAGGAAGCTACGATCAGCCAGGATCCGCAGAGCGATGCGGGAGGCGGGGAAGAAAGACTTCTCATGCGTTATTCATTCTGCCTTCTAGCAAAGCCCCTCTTTAAAAAACGGAGCACAAATTGAAAGGACATACCTCACCCAGGACGGAGATGTGGTGAGCAGATTTGGAAAACCGACTCCTTTCTCCTTCCTCTAACCTTGGGTTCCTGAAAAGAGGTTGAGGGGGGGGGAAAAAAAAACATTTGGGGAAGGACGAAGCTTTTCATCTGCGTCCAAACGTCAAGAGGAAGTCGAAGGTATTGGCTTTCCTGCCTGCCCAGCCCCAGGGTATCCAAGATGGCTTGCAAAGATGCATTTGGCCGGGACTTGGATTCTGGTGTACGTTACATTTGTGACTCTAAAAAAAAAAAGTTCTCAGGGAAAAAAACCCTTAAAGCAGGGGTCCCTAATCCCCGGTCCGTGGACCAGCAACCGGTCTGCGCAAACAAGCGAAGCCCCTTCCGCGGGATGCAGGCATCACACAAAACCACACACCCCTCTGGGCCACGGAAAAACCTCCAACGGAACCGATCCCTGGTGTCCAAAAGGTTGGGGGCCCCTGCCTTAAAGTACAGTAGATCGAAAAAGAGGTTTTGAACGTCGTGGCGGATCCAACATCAAGTCAACGTCTGTGGACATTCTCATTCATCCAGATCCTAGTTGTCTCAATGGTGGTGGTTCAAAAGGCAGTGGGGCTGTTTTTTTTCCCTGTTTTTCCCTTCATCCAAGAAGCTTTATCGGTTCAGAACCGGTGAAGCTTCGTGGATGAGAAGCGAAATGTCTTTTCTTTCTCAAGGAAAAAAACATTCCAGTTGCCTTTTGAAAAACCTACCAAGTCAGTGTCAAATTGCCACTCACACTAAAATTCGCGTTATCGACTAAGCTAGTCACCTGCATGCTAATGCTTTAATTAATTTGGGTGCAGTTGTTCACAAACTGGGTACATTTAGGGGGGAGAAATTTATCTTTTGCTACGAGTAAGGACAAAACCGATGGCATGTCTGCGTTAACGCTTTTTCCAATTCTGTCGGTTCTCAGTGTGGCTAGCTATGGCCTCTCCTTGATTCTGCAAGTGGAAAATGCCACTGGATCTCCCAGCAAAGTGCCGCTGAATTACCAATTTTCTTCACTTAAAGTGGTAGGACTTGGCTTTTATTTATTAAACTACCCTTCCCTGACACCACCTTACTTCAGCAAATTCTTCTGCAATTGTAAGTACTTAATACAGACGTCTAAGCTCCCCGAGTATCTGAATGGCTGATTTAATTAGGTCAAAGCTATTCATAATTGCCTCACCCTCTCTTTTAATGCTACTTAGCAATCTGGCACACGGGCACAAGCAGTTTGAAAGAACTTTCTACCTGCTTAGGGAAGTCGGCAAGGTTTTTTTTTTAACAAAACGTAGGACTTTATGCTCGGCTTTAAAGCCCTTAGCATCTTGAGTGTGCCAGCTGAATTCACGGCAGGATCATTTAATAATAATGATACTTACCCTTTATTGTACCGCTTTCCATCTGCAAATGATGAAAGACCTCACATATCTCGATAACCCTACAATTATGGTACGTTTGCTAATATTGTCGCTATTTAACTCATGGAGGTGAGCTGATGTAAATCACAATGGAATCCAATATTATATATAGCCAGTGCTAGTAAAGACAGCAATGTAACCCAGGGCAATTTAGCTATGAAACTTACCCCCCTTATTCCAGGTCCCTAGCTGGAGGTATGGGGGAAAAAACTAGCCAACATAATATGTCACATCTAGGTTTTTTTTACTGTGGATCCTTTTCAGAAGAAACTGAGCACCGTTTCAAATTTGAAGACAAAAAGCAGGCACTTTAGCATTACAGAATGTAATATATTATCTGGAATATATTAAATGCAGTGAAATAATGCCAGATCTGCATTCCACGCTGTGAAATAGTTATAGAAAGCCCTATAAAAAGCCAGGAGCTTCCCACTGTCACAGTTCATTTGGTATCTTTCCATTTTTTTCCTGAAGCTTAAAAGTCCAATCACCATAGGAGAATTAAGACAGTGGTGTGCGGGCCGTTCCTGTGCAGATATATGGAGAACAGGGCTCTTCTTGTAAAACAGAATCAGCAATATTTAGCTTTAAGAAGCAGTAATGTTTCAGATGAAAGATCAATCTGTAGAGTCTTTCATACAAGCTCCAGAGATAAACACGGCAGAGTCTAAATTAAAAGCCAGCACCAGAGAGATTTAAATGAAAAACATGCAGAAAATAATGGCATTTGACAAAGGACCGTTCTGAGCTTCAACACATTCCTTTAATAAATTAAAACTGACATTTAACCATTTTTCTCAGGCCTGAAACTATACACAGTACATTTACAGTATTTATAAATAAATTATCACTATTATAAGCACATAATTTTACATACAATACTAACTCCCCTTGGAGGGGACAAATATTTTCAGTTGTTCTGGTAACTAATTTTCAAAGGAAGCTGCTGAACGTCCATCGTTAAAACAAACTAACTTTGCCCCCGTAGCAAAGTAGCAGCTAATGCTCCACCTTAATTGATCTCAAAAAGGAAATTACGATCTATCTTGATAGAGCTCGCATCGGAGGCCACCAGGAAAACATAGACAAGTAGTTCAGCAACTCTTTCCTTAAGCATGATTGGATCACAATTTCCTCTTAATCTGATCTAAGCATAATTAGATGTGTATCTCAGATTCTCTGCTAGGAGTTTTTTCTGAATGAAAAGATTAAGCCCTAAGGTTCTTTTTAAGCTTTCATGGGGGTAAAAGCAGTTCAAATATCTATGGAAAAATGTAAATATTTAGAGCGAGGATTATTGTAGATGCCAGGAAAAACAAACATGGCTAACGGACCCCACACAATATAAAAATTATGAGTCCCTCCATCCCACTGGGCACAATTCATCCCTAAAAGACAGCAATTCCATCCATCTATAAGATCTTTCCAAAAATCCTTTGGTCCAGAACCATTTACACCTTGAGCATCGTGGCCACAATTTTTGAGGTGATTCACCAGAAAGGTTAGTGACAGAGCATAAATTCTGGCTGAATTAAGCCCTAGTTGTCAAAACTGTGCCTGCTGCAAACAATCAAGGTGTGAAAATGAGACTATCCTTATTTGCAACCCGTAGTTCTCTTAACATAAAGAAATTGGTCAAAGAAGGCATCCAATTTAGCCATCTCCCATTTCAGCTCATCACAATCCAGAGTTGTGGCTCCAATGCTGGTCCCTAAGAAAAGGACACAATCCTGCTTTAATCATTAACAGTATATTTGAAAAAGGTAACAGCCATAATTTTAAAAACATCTAATTCCCTCAGGGCCGAAGCAGCGTGGATTTTTCAGTCAAAATGAAGCTGTCTCCGTCAGCAATTAAGCAGCCTCTTAAAAGCAGCTGATCTTCCACAGCCACTCAAGAGGCCGTTCGTAGCGCATAATGGCGGCTCCAGCATCCAATCAGGTTGCCCCCCCCGAAATGTTTTTACAGATTAAAACACCCCCCTTTTGAATAAAGGGGAAGACGATTCAAAGAGCAGACGGTAGCAGTCAGGAAGTGGAAAATGTTGTAACAACAGACATTCAAGAAATTATCCAAGTGAAATAGAAGCGTCAAGCCAAAGATGTTCCATTTAAAAAAAGGTACCGGCAGAAGCTGCTATTTCAATTCGGAGACCGACGTGGTTGCAGCACCTTAATTTTTAATCCCATTGGGGTTCGTGTCTGAATTGCTCTTCTGAAACGGGACACTTTTAATCCATCCACAGCCTTGGGCTTCAGGGTATGCCATCTTTTCTCTGGCAGCACTGGGAAGGAGGCACGCTCCAGTCGTACACGTAAGAGAGTCTAAGTTTTGCCTCCTCCTTGCAAAGCTTCCCTTCTTTGGCCAGAGTCTGATGTTTTTCCAGCATGTCCTCCAGGCTCTGCTTGTGAGTCACAATGTACTTATTGTTGCAACCCCGTGATTTGTACTCGGTGTCAAAGCGGGGGTCGTGAATCCTCTTGACGTCCACCGGAGCCAGCCAAGCTCCCAAGGACACATCCTCGCTCTGCCAGAGGTTGAGGTAGTCCTGGCTCAAGCGAAGGTAGTGCACCAGGTCGGCCGAGATCACGTACCCACCGCCCAGGGCGTAAGGCAAGTAGAAGTCACACAGGAGCCAGGCGTTTTCCTTCCACTTGCCCCCCGACTTCACGCGGCCGCGGCCCGAGAAGAAGCCCCAGTAGAGGCGGCGCGGCTCCTTGGACCGCAGCTCTTCGGCCAGGACATCCAGGCGGACCAAGGTGTCGTCGTCGGCCTTCAGGACAAAGCGGAAGTCCAGGTGCTGGTCCAGCCAGACGTACATGGCCAAGACCTTGGCGGTCAGGTTCTCGTAGGAGTCCCGCAGGTCGGGCAAGAGGAGGAGGTCGTGGTGGCGGCTTTGCTCCAGCTCCAGGCTGTGCAGCTCTTCTCCAGTCAGCCCGCCGGTGCCCACCACGAAGCAGCACCACAGGTCGCTGCGGGGCACCCGGCCGGCCGGGGAGAGCCAGGTGCTCCGGATGATGCTCCGCCGCTCCGTGTACTTGGGGCCACTGACCACCAGCACGGCCAGGAAGGTGGCCTCCTCTGGAGGGGGCGGAGGGGCGGCCGCAGGCGGGTGAGGACCCCCGAGGACCCCGGGGCGGGCAGGGGGCTGCTGCTGCTGGGGCAGCCCCCACCCCGGGGAGGACTTGAGGCCCTCCGAGGTGCACTTGGCCAGGTAGAGCAGCACCACCGCAAAGAGGGTGAGCCCCCCCAGCAGGGTCTTGTGGCGACAGAGCAGGCGCACCAGCTTCATGGCCCCTCCGGTGGGCGGGGCCAAACGCCCGGCTTCTTCCCCCTGGGGGAGGTCCGGAGGCAGGCTCCTCCCGCAGAAGGCGGGGCAACGCCTTAGGCCCGCCCTCTTCAGGCGCAGCCCCGCCTCCCGGCGGCAGCGATCCAATCCCTCGGCGGCCGCTCGCAAGGCGCGCTGCCGATAGGTTAGAGCCAGGTTAGTCCCCGCCCAGCGCTATCAAGGGGCGGGCCGCGGGCTTCGCCACGCCCCTTGGCCAGGCCCAATCCTTCTTAAGCCCCGCCTCGTCCCCCTTTCCCCCCCCACCGTCAGTTCGGCCTCAGGGTTTGGCGGGAAGATTTCCTCCCCCCCCCCCCCCGCCGCGGCTACGGACGGCGGGTTGGGACACACCTCCTCAGTCCGCGCTCGAGGATGCCGCCGGGGGCCCGCTGGATCGCCTCCAGCGGAAGGTTCATTGTCTTCCCGAAGCAGCCTTGCCGGAGCGCTGCTCTCGCCCGCGGCGCATGCGCGCTCGGTCCCGACGCGAGGCCCTTCTGGAAGGCGAGGCGGCCGTCCTCGGCTGCTTCTAAGGCGAAAGAGCGGGGTCCGTCTCTAGCGGAGGGGGGGGGGAGAGGGCGAGCACGCCAGCACCACGTGACCACCCCTCCGTCCTTCTCTCCTCCCCCGCTCCTGACGCTTCCCCGTCTGAGGGCAAGTGAGGCTGGCGTCTGGCGCCATCTTTGAGGGCAGGCCGCGCGCCCTGAGGGAGGGGGGCAGCGCCGGGGGCTTTTCCGAGGGGCTGTTAATGCCAGCCGGCAGGGCGGTGTGCCGGTGGCGTCACGAGCTGGAGCAAAAAGGCTCTTTTATGGTGGCTCCAGGCCTCAAAGGCATGGGCAAGAGGCTCTGTGCCCCAAACAAAGATGGCTGCGTCGGAGTCACCTGCCGCCAAGTAGCGCTCCCAGCGGCGAAGTCCCCTTTCCCCCCCCCCCCCGTCTGGTCTCCGCTTTGGAGTCTAGCTGAGTGCCTGCTCGTTTTGTCAATATTACCCATTTAAAAGAGAACCGCTTCAGATTATTTTTATTTGCCGCTTTGGTGAGGAGGGGAAAATAAAATCGACGCCCCCCCTCCCCACGGTTGGGACTCGCTTCCGCGGGGCGGGCGGGCGGGCGATTGACAGGTTTCCCTGGGGCGGAAGAGGCGGGGCTCTGCTGGTCCTCCCAGCGCGGCGCGAAGCTTCCGGCTTCCGGTCCGAGGCCGAAGAAGAAAGGCCGCCGCTGTCCCGGCGCGGGGTTGGGCATGAAGAGGCTGGGCGGCTGGCCGGCCAGGAAGGTCAGACCCTGGGAGGGGAGAGGGGGAGGGAGTGGCCGCCTCTGAGCACGTGCAGAGCGTCTGCGCCCCGCAGAGGCAGCTCTCCTGGTCTCGGACCAGGGTTCCTCTGGGCATGTGTGGAGTGCCGCCCTTTTAATGTCCCTGCTCGCTTCGGGGCGTTTCTGGAGTTCCTCTGAGGGGCCGAGGGGGGGGGTCCATCTTAGGGTTGTTGGCCGAGGTGGGACCCGGGTCGGCCGCCACGTATCCGGTGCAGGACAGGTAGTCCTCGATTTACGACCCCAGTTGAGCCCAGAATTTATGTGGCTAAGCGAGCTTTTCCCCCCATTTTACCCCTTCCCCCCCCAATGGCGGTTAAGTTAAGCAGGGGGTTGGACTAGATGACCTCCAAGGTCCCTTCCAACTTTACTATTATTATTATTATTATTATTATTATTATTATTTGAATCCCTGCAGTTGCTAAGTTAGTAACAGGGCTGTTAATTGGATCTGGCTTCTCCCCCCTCTCTTGTCAGAAGGTCGCAAAGGGGGATCACGTGACACCCCCCCCCCAAAAGGACACCACAACTGTCATAAATACGAAACAGGTGTCAAGGGCCTCAATGTAAATCACGTGAGGGCGGAGATGCTGCAATGGTCATAAGTTGGGGGAAAGGTCCCAAGTGGCTTTTTTCAGTTCCGTTGTAATTTGGAACGGTCGCTAAAGGAACTGTTGTAAATTGAGGGCTGCCTCTATTGCCTTGTCTGCCTGGAGGTTTCTTTTTATTTTTGTGGGATAAACTCTCTCTCTCTCTGGAATGAATCCCCGCGCAGAGTTCCTCTGAGGATACCCAGAGTGATTTTCGCCTTGGGCAGAATAAGGAGCAGCTTTTATTCTTTAAAGAAAAAAAGAGGAAGGATCTTTCTGAAAAACTGTCTGAATATAGAGGGGTTTTTATGCTGGAAAGCTCTTTTTAGCCAGCAAGTTGTCTTTCTTGTATAGGAGAAGTTAATTAGGTAGAGGGAGGTTTAAAAAAAAAACCTGTGGTCAAGCTTTGATGCTGAGAAAGTTAATTTAAAAGTGAGATTTTAGTAAACAAGTTTTTTTTTAAAAGAGGAATGTAAACCGAAGGTGTTTGCCTGCCTAGAAGGAAAGAATAGAATAGGAATAAGAATAGAATAGAGCTGGAAGGGACCTTGGAGGTCTTCTAGTCCAGCCCCCTGCTCAAGCAGGAGAAATTGCAAAGTAAATCAAGACACCCAACTTAGTTAACGAGTCTCTGTTTTTCAGAATGGGAACAGTGCTAATCGTTTGCTCCTTCGCTACCTCCAGGTTACCCAGACGTCATCCTGATACTTCCTCCTGCGGACCGTGAAGAACGGAAGCCATGGTTTCCAAACGGGTCTTCATCTGCAGCTTGGGCTCCATCTATTTATCCCTCCTCTTCGTCTTTTTGCTCATGGATGTGTATGCTCGGCCGGCCAACAGCTCCATCCTCAAGGAGAAAGCTGCCGACAACAAAGACGAGAATGAGATCCTCCCTCCGGATCACTTGAACGGGGTCAAGATGGAGCTGGACGGGCATCTCAACAAGGAGTTTCACCAGGAGGTCTTCCTGGGGAAAGAGATGGAGGAATTTGAGGAAGACTCGGAACCCCGGAGAAACAGGAAGAAGCTGGTGGTGATTTTCTCAAAGTGAGCATGACCCTTTTTTAACTTGAAAGTTGCTGCTGTTCTAAACTAGAAGGAAGAAAGGGAGACGGGAAGGCCAGCTTGGTGGTATGTGCAGGAGAAATCCTGGTTATGGCTTCCCTCCGTAATATGGCGCTATGATTGTTCTCAGAATCTTAGAAAGTACTCCGAGTTATTCTTTAAAGCAGTGGTTCTCAACTTTTTTAGTGCCGCGACCCCCAACCGGTCGTAAGTCGAGGACTACTCAACCGGTCGTAAGTCGAGGACTACTCAACTGGTGCAGCACCGTTTGCAGAATGGGACTTTTGGCGGGCTCAGCAGGGCAGAGACAGCCTGGACAATCCCTATTGGCTTTTGAAAGCCAATAGAATTAGACTCTATTCAAGAGAGTCTATTCTATTGGCTTTCAAAAGCCAATAGAATAAAAGGGAGTAGCACAGCTAAGGAAAAGGGGGGAAAAAATGGCGGACTGCGTTGTTTGGCGACCCCCGTGAAATGGTCGTTCGACCCCAAATGGGGTCCCGATCCACAGGTTGAGAACCACTGCTTTAAAGGAAGTTAAAGGAAGGAAAACTGCCTTGATTCTCGTGGCTTAAGTGAACATGCTCCTATTTATTCCTTCCACTGCCCTTATGCTTGACATTAAATTATTACAAGGCTTCAATCAGCATAGAGCTGGAAGGGACCTTGGAGGTCTTCTAGTCCAACCCCCTGCTCAAGCAGGAGACCCTACAACCATTTCAGACAGGTGGCTGTCCAGTCTTTTCTTAAAAACCTCCAGTGATGGAACACCCACAACTTCTGAAGGCAAAGCTGTTCCACTGGTTGATTGTTCTCACTTCCACTTCTCGCTTAATTCCAGGTTGCTTCTCTCCTTGATTAGTTTGCATCCATTATTTCTTGTCTTGCCTTCTGGTGCTTTGGAAAATAAGCTGACCCCCTCCTCTTTGTGGCAGGCCCACAAATACCAGAAGACTGCTGTCAGGTCATCCCTAGTCCTTCTTTTCTCCAGACTGGCCCTACCTAATTCCTGCAGCCGTTCTGTTTGTGTCTCCAGGCCTCTAATCATCTTATTCTTCTTTGCACTCTTTCCTGAGTCTCAACCTCTTTTTTTTTTGTAATGTGGTGATGTGGGAGGGGTAAGGGCCATGCAGACCTCTTGCCTGCAAAGAAAAACATTTATTATTGTTAAGCACATCATAGCAAGTGGTGGTAATAAAACGGAAAGCCGATCGCTGGGTTGAGACAAGGGCTGGGCACTAATGACGTGGGCCAAGTTCCCTCCCCTGCTTCCTTGCTTCTCATTTGTTGGGAGGAAGGCAGGTCACAAGCCACTGGGTTATTGCCACGCTGGTGTTGCAACTGAGTGCAAGCAGGAAGTAAACATTCTACCTCTGCAGCCCCAAAAATTCAGGCACTTGGGAAATGAAGGGTTTTTAAAAAAAAAAAAACTAAAAAAATGAACAAGCAGCCATTATTCTGAGGCTTAGAAAGGTTTCCCTAATGAGCCTGATCCTGTGGAGGGGGGGAGAGAGGAAAGTACTTTCCAACTTTGTGGTCTCAATAATAAGCTTTCCGATTTATTTTCCCGAATAAGCGTTGCTGCCCTTTGCTGAATAAAAAGACCAGTTTTTTTTTCCTCCTGTTTCTATAATTGGCTGTGTAAACGGCCAGAAATGTTAATAAGCAGTTTTGGCAGAGGCTTGGGTTTGTCTTAGATTGCTCTTATCATGAAGAAAACCCTCTCTGGCAGAATGTGTAAGCTCAGCGTAGCCCATCTTCCCCTGTCCCGGCATTTAGGGAGCCCCAGTTTCTCTAGGGCAGGTTTACCAGCTTTATAAGAGCAAGATAAGGAGGAGAAATTGAATTTCCCACCAGAGGGGGAGGCAGAACCAAATAATAATCCGAGGAGCCTATTAAATACTAACCTGGCTCGTCCCTAAAAGGAGTCTGTATATATATTAAAAGCAGGAGCTACACAGACTCTTTAATTTGCATTCAAGGGAGTTGGACTTGATGACCTCTGTGGTTCCTCTCCCAGCTTCTCTGAAAAGGTGAGGCGAGCCAGGTTGCAGTTGTCATTAGGCCCACCTATTTTCGATCTCCGTGTTCCCCCCAAAATTGGGGAAGCCACGTTTTGTGGATGGCATATTTCCCTTGTAACTGGCTCCCTGCCTTGTCAGGTGAGGCTGAGTCACTAGTCCCATCTTGAGCATCCCTGCCTTCCAAATATGTGGGGGTAGCAGCTTGTAGGGTTGTCTTTATCAGTGGGGCCAAGAGATGGCTGGCTGGGACCTTTCAGCTGTAATTCCAGCCCATCTGGAAGGGACCAACCAGGTTTTTCAAGGGACTGTTTGAGGGAATGGGAGCTGCCTGGGCAAGCTTCAGACTCTACTGTGGCCTTCATTCATTGCTCTCTATCCTTTCATCACCTGAACTTGTTGGCTGAGCAAAGAGAGAATTTCTTTTCTTTTTTCCCTGGAGGGACACTGGGGATTGGTGACCCACTAACCGGGGCTCCTTTTTCACCGAACCATGCAGGGTTGACATCAACCGTGACAAAAAAATCAGCGCCAAGGAGATGCAGCGCTGGATCATGGAGAAGACCGAGGAGCATTTCCAGGAGGCTGTGGAAGAAAACAAGATGCATTTCCGGGCCGTGGACCCTGACGGTGATGGTGAGAGGAAGGGCAAAGGGGATGCCTTAGCATAGTCGGACGGCGGGCAGCCCCGGGACGGGCTGCCTTCCTGGTCGGCAGGCAGCCCCGGGACGGGCTGCCTTCCTGGTCGGCGGGCAGCCCCGGGGCAGGGGCTGCCTTCCTGGTCGGCGGGCAGACCCGGGGCAGGGGCTGCCTTCCTGGTCGGCGGGCTGAAGATGGCTGAGGC